AATGGAATTCTAAACAGCAGAAAACAAACTGAAATATATACCTATATATGCTACCTATATAACACAGGCAGATCTGGAACACGAAGTATGGGTTGAAAAAAGAAAATAAAAAAGCAAATTACAAGTGGAAAACTTGCAGTACAAGACTTTCATATTTTCGAAATACAATAGCTATGCTGGGCCCAGTAGTGCATGCCTGTAATCCAGCAGCAGGAGGATCTCATGTTTGAAGCCAATCTTAGCAACTTAGCAAGGCCCTAAGCAACTTAGTAAGATCCTGTCTCAAAATTAAAAAAAAATAAAAAGGGCTGAGGATGTATCTCAGTGGTAAAAGTACTATCCCCAGTACCAAAAGGAGAAAAGGAAATAAACTCAATGGCATCCATTTGTGATATGCACATCTGCAGAAGTAGAAGTATAAACAACAGGGTGGCTGGCCATCCTCCCCCACCCCTCCCTCAGTGCAGTTTTACCTGTAGGGATTCCTTTGTCCTCTGACTTCCTAGGATATAACCAAAGGAAGTAGCAGCAGGAGATCGCCAGGCTGAAGAATGAGGTCATGTGACTAGGTGGTGTCCCTCTGTGTCAGGCTCCATTTCCTGTTGGGGAGATGGAGGGGCTTTGGTCATTGCTGGCTCCTCTTATCTCAGTTTCCCCAGTCATAAAGTGGGAATGAGAAAAGCATCTACCTCTTAGTCACTGTGTGGACTTGGTACAGTGTCTGGTGGGTTATAAACACTGAAAAAGCTTCTGTTGTTACTAATCACACCCTGTCTCCATTTTTGCAAGGGACCTCTGCACCATTTTTTTGAAATACAAAAATCGCATGACTTCCTTTAATGTCACTTAAAACTTCAGAATACAGGTCTGAAAGTCATCTCTTATCTTAAACCATAGGGACCAAAGTGCTTTTTAAATTCTGAAGTTTCAGGATTGTATAAATGGAACCTAGTGCCCAAGCTTGGGCCAGGGGCTGGTGAGGCAGTATCACTGCGAGAACACAGGTGGGTGGGACCGTCATGGATACCTGGGGGGAGAGCCTGAGAATTTCCACTGCTCACAGGTTCCCAGGTGATGCAGATGCTGCTGGGATGAAGACCACAGGAGGACTGCTGCTGTCTGAGGTGTGACCTCCCTAGGAGGTCTGGAGCCACGGCCCCATGACCAAATATTAGTATTTCCCTGTGAAATGTTCATGGAAGATTATAGATAGCCTTATGTCAGTTCAGATTGGGGTTTGATACTGAGTGAGCCTGTGTAAACTGATGGAAAAACTTTCAGTTTTCAAAGAATTTTGGATTTTGGAAGAGAATGTAAGAGACTAGATTTGTAAACTGAATCATGAGCAAAGATAAAAACATTTTTTTAAAAAACAGTGATATTATGCTTGCTTTTTGGGGGAGCTCTGGGGGTCAAATCCAGGGCCCTGTGTGTGCTGGGCAAATGCTCTACCACTGAGCTGCACCCAACTCCTTTTTCATTTTATTTTGAGACAGGGTCTTGCTATGTTGTCCAGGCTGGCCTCACACTTGCAATCCTCTGCTTCAGCCTCCCAAGTATCTGGCATTACAGGCATGTGCCAACATGCTCAGCTATAATATAGTTTTAAAACTAACTGGACTTACCACCATCAGGGATTGTGAAAGTTTGTGGAATGAAAATGTTAATAGCTCTTAAAATCCAATGCAGATTGTGCAACACTCATATTGGCCACCAGGTGACAGCACCCACTCTGTGTCCAAACCTGGAGAAATCTGGAGGGTGTTTTGGGTTAAAGAGCCGGCCTGGTGGTGGCTTCCTCTGCAAGAGCACTTGGAAGTGAACAATGCTATGTAATCAACTACTCCAAAACTCAGTGGGGTAAAGCAACCATTTTATTACGCTCATGAGTTCCGTGGATCCACAACTTAGAAAGGACACAGCTGAGACAGCTTTCCTCTATTCCACATCTAGGACTCCGCAGTAGTTTCCATGGCTGGGACCTGGAACGTCTGGAGGGGTCTTCTCTCAGCATGCTGGGCCTAACACTGGCTGTCAGTGGAACACCTACCTCAGTTCTGCATGATCCCTCAGGATGGGCTGGCTTGGGCGTCCTCACGATGTGGCGCCTGGATTTAAAGGTGGACTTCAAGGGGAGAGGACACAGACCACACCTGGATGGGAGGCACAGGAAAGCCACTGTGTTAAATGCTTAGCATTTGTTAAGGCTGCTCTGAGCATCACAGACAGGGTGACTTCAACAACAGAAATGTATTTCTCAGAGTTTATCAGTCAGATTGGATTGGAGCTCACCCTAACAGCCTACTTTTAATCACCTCTTTAAAGGCCCTACCTCCAGGGCACTGGGGTTTGGCTCAGTGGTAGAACACTTGCCTAGCATGTGTGAGGCACCGGGTTTGATTCCCAGCACCACATAAAAAATAAAACAAAGGTATTTGTATCCATCTACAACTAAAAAATTATACATATTTAAAAAAAAAAAAAAGGTTTTACCTCCAAATACAGTCACACTCTGTGGTCCTGCGCTCAGGACTCCAACATGGTTTTTTGAGGGGAACACAGTTCAGCTCTTAACAGAACACTGTCGGAAGATCAGGTGGGATGGGAGCAGTCCATTCATCTTGGAAAAATGCCATCAGCTATGGTACCCCCTTCCAGCTACGTGTCCATGGCTTTACTGTCCGTTAAGCACATCATCCTCACTCCGATATCCATACCCTTAAACATGCCAAAGGGAGCAGGAGATCACTGATAGAAGGAAGAGGCCATCTCTGCCTGGAATCCCCCGCCTGCCCTCCTCTAATCGATCACACCAGAACTCTGTTCAGCCAGAGCATGGCTGACCCCTGTCCCAGTCATCATCTGCCACCATCTTTACCACCACTCTTGTCTCACTGACCATGAACACTGCCTCTATAGACTGCTTCCTTGGGCCAGGCTCACTTAATGTCCACAACATCCTTATGAGGTAAGTGTCACAGATGAAGAGACCAGAGGTCAGAGTGGGGAAGTTACTAGTATAGGGTCATAGCGCGAGTAGGTAGCTGAGCAAAGACCAAACTCAGGTTGGCCTGTCTTCCAGAAGCCTGTTTGTAAACCTCTAGCCTCTGGGCCTCTCAGAGTCTGGCACTGGTTATTCCCTTCCTCTGCCCTAGCCCCGAATTCAGTCCTCACCTCGGAGCATCATCTTCCACAATAACTCACAGCACCTGCTCTGCTTCTGCATGGGCCGCCTGTGGGGAGGTTCCCCTGAGCTCGTGAACAGGCAGGGGATCAGCAGGCCTTGCACCTTGCACTGTATCATTATGTCGATGGTGCCCAGTGTATCCACAGGTTATGCACCCCCTCATGTTGACTCAGGCCTTGTCCTTGTGACTTTGACCAATCACTATATATTAAATATACTATATACTTTATATATTGACTTTCAGTCAATCTGACCAAAAGGAGCTTAAAAATCTCTTACTGGGCCTGGCTCTCTTGGAACATGCCACCTTGTAGATAAGACTGGAGTGGACTCCGAGGATGAGAGCCCCCATGCAGACAATGATCCAGTCACCCCACTATTCCAGGAACCCCTGTGAGGCCACTTTGGACCACTGTCCCAATCACACTGTCCGATGACTACAGATCTGCGGATGACTCCCGCCTGCCCTGCAGACTAGCTCAGCTGGGCTCAGCATGCATCGCTGACCCAAGAATCCTGAGCAAATGCAGCAGTCTTTCCTTAAGTCAGTTTCAGGGGATTGCTCTGCAGCAACAGATAACTGACCCCCTGGAGTTTGTTCCCTTCTGCACAGGGTCCCTTCTGTAAGCTTCTAGAAAGGTTTTACAGTTGCCCCTGTTGTCTACCACAAGAGTGTTCCTGAAGTTCCCAAAGGTGGTTGATGTACCAGGTACCAATTTCCTGTCCCCAGTTCTGGTCTCACTGAGGCCTGATCCAGTGACAGTCACTTGAAGCTCAGGTCAGGGAATTCAGCTTGGAAACATCTTCAGGCAGAGCTGGAACCAGGGCCTCAGATGACACCTCAGGGCTCCGTGTCTCTCAGCTCTTGGTTCCATTGGGTTCTGCTGGGATTCGTTCTGTGGAGAGGAGCTCCCCACACCCCACCTGTTGACTCAGTGCACAGCGGGAGCCTTTGGGGCCTCCATTGCCTTGTTCATTCTGTGCCTGCAGCAGGGGGTTTCCAAGTGTCACCAGCAGTGTGAAAAGCCCCAGAGCAAAGCCTTAGTGACTCATCATGGCAACCTTGTCGTTTCTGGTATCCAAAGTGGAGACCACCAATGATTTTGCACTTGTGTCCTGTGTAATAACCATTTTACTTTTTTGCTATGACCCTCTATTTAATATCAAGGCAGTTGCCTATTTCAACCTTATTTTGGTGTATTCTATAAGCTTAACCTCATTCTTTTTAAAAATATTTATTTTTTAGTTGTAGGTGGACACATTATCTTTCTTTTATTTTTATGTGGTGCTGAGGATCAAACCCAGAGTCTCATGCGTTCTAGGCGAGTGCTCTACCTCTGAGCTACAACCACAGCCCTATCCTCATTCTTTTTAACAATAGCACGATATTCTTTAATTCTTGGTTTCTCTCTTTAAATTAGCATGACCCTTATTATCTTATTGTTTTTTAATCTAAAAAGTGTTTTGTTCTAGCAACTTCATTTGCAGCAATATCATTCCCAATTACATGCCCAAATATGTGTTTGTGCAAGGATATTTTGTTGTAGCACTATTTATAATAGAATACATTTGGAAACATTTATTCAAATATCAAAGGTGGAAAGATTAAATAAACCATGAAATGAAACATAATGAAATACTATTCAAATGTTAAAATGAATCAGTTACTTCGCAAGAAATGTTCAGGAACTATATGAATAATCCCTTCAGAGTGTATTATGTGACATAACAGCCTGAATAAAGGAAAAGGCACATCCCATTTTAGGCTAGAAGATTCAACAAAGAAAAGATACAATCTTTCTATCTTTGAAATTTATAATTTTAATGGGAAGCAAATATATATATATACAGGATTATTTGGGACCTTGAAAAACTGATTCTAAAACTCATGCAGGAAAATCAAGAAAACTCCTGAAATTAAAAAAAAAAAGAAGAACAACAAGTGGGAGAGAAAGAGATCTGGGAGGACCAATCTGTCAGATGCTAAAGCGTGTGATGATGAAGTGACTGCAATATCAGCTCGTGATGAACTCAGAAACAGGCAAAGAGAGGAGGACAGCTGAGGAGTGAGTCTGGAAGGAAGCCAAAATATATAAAGTCATTTAATAAATAATAACATAGCACTCAAATCGGGCGAAGATGGATTACTCAATAAATATTGTTGGTTCAACTGGCTAGTCATCCAAAAAGAAATTCAGTTAGAGCCCGATGGCAAACCTACAGCAAAATAAATTCCAATTAGATAAGTAAATTATGGTCTGTGCCTGCAATAAAATACTATCCAGCAAAAAAAAAAAAAAAAGAAGAAAGAAGAAAGAAAGAAAGAAAGAAAAAGGAAAAAAAAAAGAAAAAAGAAAGAAAGAGCCCAAAGTACTATACAGTAATGAAAATAAATGAACCACAGCTACGTGCAATGTGGATGATTGTGTGTGTGTGTGTTTGTGTGTGTGTGCACGTGCACCTACACTCATGCACAGTGGTGGGGATCTAACCCAGGGCCTCAACGCTTGCTAGATTAGTGCTCTACCACTGGGCCGTGTCCCCAGCCCAATAACATTCAGGGATGATAATGAGGTGGTGCTACAGTTCGGCTCTTAAAGGTTATGGACCCCAGCCCCCCTCTTTCTCATTTCCTAGCCATGAGATGAACAGCCCACACTGACCCCCACCCCCGAGCTCCCTGCCCTGATGTGCTGCCTCTCCACAGGCCCCAAAGCAACAGAGTCAACCAATGGCGGAATGAAACTCCCAAAACTATGAAGCAAAAAAACCTTCCTCTTTATAAAAAGTTGATGATCTCAGGCAGTTTTTACAGTGACAGAAAACTAACACAAATGGTAGCACTTTATAAAGAGCACAGAAAGGATACTACAGATGTTGGTACAGTGCTGTTGTTGTTTTCCCCCTAAGGAGAAGGAAGGGATTCGGTCAGGAAGGATGGATCATACCAGGGACCTTCTGGTGGCAGCAATCATCAGTTTCTTGACCCCAGGGTGTGGTGGTGGTTTGACTGTACATTTGTGTTTTGTGTTATTGTGTGTGTTTACAATAAAGGGACATAAAATAACCAAAAAATAAAACTTTTTTTTTCATGATTTCAGGGCAAGGCCTTTCTAAATATGACCTAAAATTTAAAAAATAAAAAACAATTTTAAAGTTTGCTTGATTTGAGCCCATGAAAGATTCTGTGTGGAGCTGAGCCTGTTAAATCACCATATAATCCCAACTACTCAGGAGGCTAAAGTGGGAGGATCACAGTTCAAGCCTCAGCAACTTATGGAGACCCTATCTCAAAAATAAACAAATGAAAAGGGGTGAGGATGTAGTTCAGTGACAGAGCACTTGCCTGGCATGCCTGAGGCCCTGGATTCAATTCACAGTACTGAAAAAAAAGGAAAAAAAAAAGTGATCTTTCAGAAACTTGCATTGTCCATTAGGTAACTTATTAAAATAAAAAATGTGGAGATTCTTTTTGTATTGATATAGAGAGACTGCCAAGGTACATTGTTATTCTATGTATACCACTATCTGAGCAGAAACTATCGCATGAGCCATGGATATGCTGACTGCATCCCTCTGGTGTTTATCATGTGCCATGCACGCACAGGTTGAGCGTCCCTTCTTGGAATGGGATTTTGGAATATTTGCATATTCCTAATGAGCTACCTTGAGGAAGGGACCCATATCTAAACATGAAATTCACTTATATTTCATATATACCTCATCCACATCGTTGGAAGGTAATTCTGTGTGATATTTTTAATGCTCCTGCATTTTGACTGTGACCCATCACATGAGGTCAAGGGTAGAACTTTCCACTTGCGGCATCATGTTGGTGCTCAAAAAGCGTCAGATTTTGGAATGTTTTGGTTCTTGGATTTTCAGATTAGAGATGCTCATCTCGCACATTAAAAAAGAGACAAGAAAGAAGCAGCTCCCGGCTGGGGCTGTAGCTCAGTGGCAAAGCGCTTGCCTAGCACGTGTGAGGCACTGGGTTCGATCCTCAGCACTGCATAAAAATAAACAACTAAAATAAAGGCATTCTGTCTATCCACAACTACAAAAAAAAAAAATTAAAAAGAAGAAGCTGCAACTTTACATATACTGATGCTAAATAAGGTCCAAGACATGTTGTGATTTGATAAACAAAGCAAGACTAGACAAGAGTGCTACTATTTTGCAATGAAAAACTTTAAACACATACAAAAGCAGAAAGAAGTGCAATGAGCCTCTGCGCCTGATTCCCCATATTCTCTTTATAGCCCCTTCCCCACTCCCCTCTTATCCCACCAAATTATTTCAGAGCAAATCCCAAACATCATTTCGTCTGCAAATATTTCATTATGCATCTCTACAAGATAAGCTCACCCACTCTTCTCTATTTCTCCCTCCCTCCATAACCGCAAAAATCACAATGACGTTTTAAAAACTACCAATAGTTATTTCATGTCAACAAATGTCCAGACAGTGAGGGGATGTGGCTCAGTAGTAGAGTGCTTGCCTAATATGGGCAAGGTTCTGGGCTCAATCCCCAGCATGGCAAAAACAAACAAATATGCAGACAGTGTTTACATTTCCCAGATTCCCTCTGAAGCTTCTTTAAAACAATAACTATAATAACAAAACCAGTTAATTTATTAGAATTAGGATCCCAAGAAGGCCCACACTTTGTTTCTTTGTTGTGCTTCTTAAATTTATTTTGATTTGTGTGCTATTTTCCCCAGTGGCCATTCATTTGATGAGAATTAAAGATTATTTGTCCCAGAACATTCTAGATTTTGCTGATTGCATCCCAAAATGATGTTGTCTATCATGTTTGCAACAGAATTTTACTGGTTTGCTCCATCACCTTTCCACCCTTCTTGCCCTGGCCTTTGCACCTAGGAGGCTAACCTAAGTGAACTACAAATGGGGCCCTCTTGTCCTCTGACTTCAGCTGGGTTTGGACAATAGGGAGTCCTGGCAGGAATGGGAAGGAGAGAGGGAGCAGAATGAGGTCAAGTGGAGCTACCCCACAAAGTCACCCACCTCAAGGGTGGCTGACTCTTTGACCAAAGGACTGTTCCTCTCATGATGGCTACTCTACAAAACCTCTTCTCCTTCCAGCTTTGGGGAAGGTCTCTCTCCAGCTGGTAAAGGTTTCTCATCATCCCTGGATTCTGCACTGTCGTTTACTGGTGCCTTTATCGTTGTAAGTAAACCCTCCTCGAATCATCCTGATCTAAACACACCATCTGCCTCCTGTCAGGATCCTAATCTCTACAGTGTTCCTCTGTTCCCAGTATTTCCAGCAAATTGGAGATGCTGATGAAATCTACTACTGGGAAATACTAGTTAAGTCTTTTTTTTGTTGGTGCTGGGAATTGAAGCCAGGACCTTGTGTATGCAAGGCAAGCACTCTACCCATGGAGCCAGCCCCTAGCAAAATCTTACCTAGTTAAATACTAGTTGAATCTGAGGCTTGGTCAGATTCAAGTTCAAATTTTCTTGCAAGAATATCTTAAGGATGACATTCAGTACACCATACTGTACCACATAATACCCATTCACTATAAAGATCCCTTCATCTTTTCATCAAATGGCTTTTAGCTGTCATCAATTGTCATTGTCTCTTGCCATTATTTCATTAGGAATTAAGAAAATTGTGGTATTGCACCATTCTCTTCCTTATCAGTCCAGAGATTCTCTGAAACTTCATCATCTATTTGGTTACTATGGAATAGTTTTCCTAGGAAAGGTGGGACCAATGCCAGCTTTTTTTCCTTTGTTAATTAGTTGCAGAATTATGAAGGAACCATGATGAAGGCATGGATTTTATTGTGTCCCAACCCTTCATTATTATTCTTGCTGGTGCTTAGATTGCCCATTCCTGGACCAATGGGAGCCTCTTCAAATTGGCTCCCAAGCCCTTTTGATAGGATTCCCAGAGTCTTCAGGAGTCTCCCATAGTTTCCTTGCTTTCTGATGCAACAAGATAGCCAGGCCTGCCGGGCTTGTGGCACACGTCTATAATCCCAGAAACTCAGGAGGCTGAGGCAGAAGATCACAATTCAAGGCCAGCCTGGACAAGACCCAGTCTCAAAATAAAAAATAGAGGGCTGGGGACGGGAATGTAGCTCAGGGGGTTCAATACCCTGAACAAGAAAAAATAATAATAAATATGTACAAATTTTATGTGTCAATCAAAAAAAAAAAAAAAAAAAAGATATCCAGGCTCATTTTACGCACTTTCAGGACTAGAAACAGTCACTTCCCCAAGGAACACTGGTTCCTTTAAACAGGAAACAGTGTTGAGAAACTATAATGTGGGCACTAGGGGCATCCCCTGTTATGAGTTCTCCATTATTTCCAGATTATATTTCATCTAAGAAAGTAATAATCAAAGAAAAACATATCTTGCATTCAAATTGATATTTGCAATTCAAACTTGAGATCTGATTTTAATATTTCTACATCTTATCACACTGAAATCTCAGCTTCTGGTATTAAGGTAACTATTTTAATCTACAGACACAAGAATTTGTCTTTTAGAATACCATACCAATGCTATTACTAACAACATTGTTACTGAAAACAGTAACTTTTTTTTGCAGTTCCTTTTTTACAACGTGTCTCACTAAAGATGTACATTCAACTACTATTTTTCTCAACAACTGTGAAAAAAGGCACTTAAAATAAAGTCATCTACTTAAAATAAGCCCTCTCTGTGTAAGCTTCCAGCTTGCCTCACTTTGTTTTTAACGATTGTGTTCTTTTTTGGACTAAAATTGGCTTGTTGCAATCATGTATAGCATGTACATGTTTCCCGAGTCAAATATACAAAGCATGTATTGTTCTTTTGCTTTGTTTTGTTTCTGTTTGTTTTTTGCAGTGCTGGAGATGAAACTCAGAGCCTGGTATATGCTAGGCAAGTGTTCTACCACTGAACCACACCCCAGCCACAAGGCACATATTGTTAAATGAGACAAAGACTTTTAAACTCTGTTTTAAGAAATCATGGTCACAGAATAAGGAAAAACAAATCAATTTGATGAACTTGTTCTTGACCTATACTTTTTTTATTTTATTATTATTTTTTTTTAGGTACTGGGGAACGAACACAGGTATGTTCAACCACTGACCTACATGCTAACCATTTTGATTTTTGAAACAGATCTCACCAAGCTGCAAAGGCTGGCCTTGATCTTGTGATCCTCCTGCTTTAGCCTCCCAAGTTGCTGGGATTATAGGCATCTACCACCATGGCCAGCTGTTTAAAAACAGAAATGTCTGTATTACCATGGCAACATACAATTAAGCAAAGCTACCAACTCAAAACATACATGTTTTTAACAGCACAGTTTTCTCTGAAACCCAGGCAGCTTAAGATCACCGTTTCATATACAATTTGCAGCCGAAATCAGAACTGAATTAGAGAGCCCACATCCCACACAAGAGCCTCTACTGGGGCTGGAGGGTAAGGTGGGGCAAGTGCTCTCTACCTCCTGCCTCTCTGTGATGCTCCAGGGAGTTGTGCTCTTCCAGACTTGCCGGGGAAGGGGGGACATCTCTTCCTTGTCAACCAGGAGGATCTATATTCTGGAAGCCACCCACTGGAGTCCCAGTGGACAGCAGGCTGAAAACCCAAAGTCAGATATGGAAAAAAACAACAGAAGTTTCATGATTGTTTCTGTAGCTCCCCAAAACCCAAAATACTCCATGTTCCAAGCTCCATGTCTGGTCTCACCTTCATTGCTTGGCCCTGATTCTCTGGCCCTTGTTTACCTTGGTCCTCCAGAGCTTGCATCTGTCATTGTAGTGCACCCTCGATAGCCACCAGGTGGCACCAGAGCATCTGTTCACTCATCTTGTTCCCACAGGAGCTGGGCTAGGATTACCCATGCATCTCAGCAATATTTTAAGAGCTACGGTCAGGACACAAGGCAGGTCATCCGTCCGCTTGGAAGCCTTTGCAAAGATTCTGGTCAATTGCGCTCTTGTTTTCAGGAGTATGTATACTCTAGCACTTGAGAATACTTTCTCAGAATGGCAACTGGAATGCCAATGACAGAAGCACACAAAATCACTATCAGCAAAAGGACTTCGTTCATACACTGGGACTGTTCTGTTGATGATCATCATAGCATGGATATTCCAATCCAGGTGTAAAGCCTCAAGCATGTAACACTTGTGATAAAGCTCAGTGCAAGATATTGCTGAAAGGTCCCAAGCCGGGGAGTGGTCAGCAGGTCAAGCTTCCCCACCTTGGGAGACAAAAGCTAAAGTTGCCAGCAGTTTGTCCAGGCTGGGGAATGCCCATCATCCTCCAGCCCCAGCAATGTCGAGGTGGTCGCTGGACCAGGAAATTGCTAAGAAAAGAATATTCCCTGCCTGCCAGGTACTCATCAGAAACTGCACAGGTTGGAAAGTGCGAGGCAGCCAAATTCATCTCTCAATTTTGCTGAACCCGAAGGTGGTCCAGGCTGAGGAGCGGCTCCCAGGAGAATCTCACCCCTTCCTCTGGAACATTTCCAAAGGAGTTTTTAAACTGAACACTAGCCTGAAGGCGAGGCCCAGCCCTCATCCCATAAAGCATTCTTGAGGAGAATCCTTGAGTGAAGACCAGCCGAGGAATGTTCTCCCATGTAGAAAGTCAACATGTAGGTAAACAAAACATGCTCTTTAGATTTCTCTAGAAGACTGCTGACTAAACAAAAATATTAACACTGTATGATGGGGTTTATACAGAAGTAACAGTAAAACACGTGACGGCAGCATGTGGGACCAGTGGGGTGAATGGGGAGGGAACCTAGGAGGACTTCATCACCCACCTACATCTCCAGACCTTTTTTTTTTTTTTAAATGCATCCTTAACATAATCAGCCTTGAAGTAATTCCATAACATTTCATGTACAGTTTAAGAATGGTACCACCAGCCATGTGGTAGTACACAACTGTAATCCTAGCCAACCTGGAGGCTGAGGCAGAAGAATCAAAAGTTGGAGGCTAGCCTCAGCAACTTAGTGAGACCCTGTTTTAAAAAAAAGGTCTGTGACTGGGGCTGTGGCTCAGCAGTAGTGCGCTCGCCTACCACATGTGAGGCCCTGGGTTCGATCCTCAGCGCCACATTAAAAAAAAAAAAAATAGAATAAAGGTATTGGGTCCAACTACAACTAAAAAATATAAAAAAAAAAAGATTTTTGAGTTGTTGATGGACCTTTACTTATTTGTATGTGGTGCTGAGAATCGAACCCAGAGCGTCACATATGCTAGGCAAGCGCTCTACCACTGAGCCCCAGCCCTAGCCCAAGGATGCATATTATCAACCCTAGAACAACCACCAAAAAATAAGAGGTATAACAAAATAGAGGAAGTAAAATGGAATCCTAAGAAATTAATTGGGGCTAAAGTGATTTGCTCTGGCCAGTGAAATACAAGTAGGTGTGATGTGCATCACTTATGGGTGTAACGTTCGGGTGCCAGGACTTGCCACCTGATGTTCTTTATTGCTTTGTGTTGAGATGTCAGAATCATAAGGTGGCGAGGGTGTGCAATCACTACAGCACCTCCATCCCTGTCTACCATATGACACTGACTAGACACAGTATGAGAAATAAACCTGGTGTTAAGCTTGAGATTTTGGATATTTGGGGAATATACTTGCTTTTTTGGGATAAAAATCCATTTGGTCAGTGTGTGTGTGTGTGTGTGTGTGTGTGTGTGTTTAATGTTTGAATAATAGTTTACAAATAATTTACTGGTATATTCTTCTGTTTGGGCACTGGGGAATGAACCCAGGGCCTCATGAATGCTAGGCCAGTGCTGTACCACTGAGCTACGTCTCCAGCCCTCCTTATTTTGAGACAGGGCCTCAGCTAAGTTGCTCAGTTGCCTTGAACTTGGCAATCATCCTGCCTCAGCCTCCTGAGTAACTGGAATTACATGCCTGTGCAACTTCACCAGGCCTTGATATTTTTTAGAAATTGGTCTATCATTTTCTCATTCACATGTATGCTATCTACTGGATTTTTGATAGTAAATATAAGAACTTTTTGTAGCTTTTACATTCATCACATTATAATAATTTGTAATTTGTTTCCTATGCTCTGGAAAAGCTTAAGGAACACCAGACCGTCCTTAAGGTTAATAAAATCCCATCAGCTTGGGTTGGGGATGTGGCTCAAGTGGTAGCTCGCTTGCCTGGCATGCGTGCAGCCCGGGTTCGAACCTCAGCACCACATATAAACAAAGATGTTGTGTCCATCGAAAACTAAAAAAAAATAATAAGTATTAAAATTCTCTCTCTCGCTCTTAAAAAAAAAAATCCCATCAGCTCAACTGAACCTGGAGTATCTTTGGTGGGGAAATGAGGTAGTTCTGTCACAATTTTCTTGTTCTTTCATGGAATAGGTCTGCTTGGCTTTATCTCTGTGAATGTCAGTTTTGGTAAAATTATATTTTCCTAGAAAATTGAGTGTTTGATCTATATATTCTAATTTAAAAGAATTATATAAAGGAGATAATTTATTTCTTCTTTATTTTCTTATTTACTCTATATTTATATTTCCTCTACTCTTAATTAGGTTTTCTAGTGATTTTTAAGTTTTATCTTTTTTAAAAAATGTATTTATTTCACCATTTTTGTGTTCTAATTATTCTATTCAGTTTCTTATAATGGATATTGTTGTTAGAAAGTTTGATATCCATTCTCTTCATTGGGGACAAAGTCTGATGCAAAAAAAAAAAAACCCAACCGATAAAAAGTGACTTTTTTCTTTTGGGTGTAACCCATCTCATTTGCCTAGGGGCCCAGGGGTCTGGTCTTTTCTTTCTTTGGGCAGCACTGGCGATCAAACCCAGGACCTCGCATATGCTAGGTGAGCACTCTACCATTAAGCCACATTCCCAGCCTTCTTTGTTTCTAAAGTCTAACAGTTTTAGTAGGACTTGACACTTCTGAATTGACTTTCCCAATCAGTGTCTTTATGATACTTATTATGATCAGGGGTCTTTCTATTATGAGGGGAAGGGGGATATTCTGAGATGTTGCTTTAAATATTAATTTTGTTCCTTTTTTTTTCTTCAACATAAAATTCAGCTGGGTATAGTGAGCATGCCTGTAATCCAGCAACTCAGGAGGCTGGAACAGGAGGAGTCCAAGTTCAAGGCCAGCCTCAGTTACTTAGTAAGAACCTGTCTCAGAATAAAAAGGACTGCAAATGTAGCCCAGTGGTAAAGCACCCCAGGTTCAATCCTCAGTACCAAACACACACACATATACACACACACACACACACCCCACACACAGTCATGTATGCATATATAACATAAAGTCACACGGTATATATTGTATAATAATATAAATTTATTTATGTTAAGACCTAAACCTATGAACTGAAAGCATAAAATGCCTAGAAGAAAACATGAAGAAAAACCTTTGTGACATCAGATATGGCAGTGATTCCTTGGCTAAGACTCAAAAAAAGCATAGGCAACAAAGGCAAAAACAGAAACAGACTACATCAAACAGAAAAAAACTCTGCCTAGTAAAAGGGAATAAAGAGAATGAAAGGGTAATCTATGAACTGATGTATTTGATAAGGAATTTATGCCCCAAATACATAAAAACTCCAATAACAAAATCAAAAACCCAATTAAAAGATGGACAAAGGACTTGAATACCTTTTTCTGAAGACGACCTACAAATGGCCAACAGATACACATCACTAATCATCAGGGCAATTCTTATCAAAACCCATTAGTCTGGCTACTACATAAAACAAATGAAGTCATGAAATAGCAAGAACTGGTGAGGTTGTGGAGAAATTGGAACCCTGTGTACTGTTGGTAGGAACGTAAAATGGTGCAACTGCTATGAAAGACAGTATGGCGTTTCCTTGAAAAAATTAAAAATAGAACCCACAGGACCCAGCAACCCCACTTCTTGGTATAAATCCAAAAGAATGAAATCAGGATTTCAGAAGAATCTAAACTTCCATGTTCAGTGCAGCATTGGTCACAACAGCCAAGACACAGAAGCAACTTAAATGTCTAACAAACGAACAGATAAAAACATGGTAAAGACATACTAACACTTTCCAGCTATAGAAAAGGAAATCTTGCCATTGGTGACAACAGGAAAGGACTTTGAGGACATTTAGTGAAACAAACCAGCCACAGGACAAATCTGCATGGTTCGCTCCACTCTTATGAGGTATCTGAGTCTAGCTCACAGAAGCAGAGAGTAGACCGTGACTGCTGGGGCTGGAGAGATGGGGAAGAGGGGAACTGTTCCAAGCCCCTTCCCCTCTGCTTCTCGGCTTTCCTGGGGGAAACCTCTGCTGATGTTCCGAGTTCTGCTATGCTGGGATTCCTCCACCTCAAGGGCAAGTTGCTCCTTCCCCTGTGGCTAACTACTTCCTACCTGTCTCAGACTCACCCTTGGACTGAACCTGGCCATCTGTACTTGTTTCCAAAGACTGCTGTTCTAGCTACCACAGACTTGGTGCTCAAAACAACAGATATTTATTTATACTTGCACAGTTTTGGAGGCCAAGGCCCCAAATCAAGGCGTCACCATGGCCATATTCCCTGCAGTCCCCAGTACCCTTCAGATGCAACTCTGGGCCCTGGACACTTCAAGCTTAATCAAACACAACCCCTTCTCTTGAGGAACACAAAACAGTGTAAAAGAAACCACCTGGGCCTAAAGCACAGCTAAGTGGTAAACGTCTGGCTCGTGGTTTGTGCAAGGGGCTGAGGAAGCCCCTGGGGTACCAAAACTCCTGCCTAGTGTGCTGGGAAAGAATGAGGAAGACTGCATGTGCAAAGCTGGTCACGGAAAGCCTGGCATGCTCAAAGACGAAACCAGACAGCTCAAGGCTCCGCCCCTTGGCCTGAACCTCACCACGGCCCCCGACTTTCCTGTGTTCCAGTGTTATCACCTGCGAGCCTGAGCACATCTAGCTTGCTAGCTTGTTTGGTCATAAAGTGCCTAATTGAGAAAGACCTGCCCAGGGTCTTTCTCCATGAGGACATGACCTCCAAGGCAGTCCTTTGACCCCACCACTGCCTTTCAGACTGGGGTTTTGCTACTGTTGCATTGTGTCTGTGGTGCAGGCCTTAAACATTCTAGGCAAGAGCTCTTCTCCTGAGCCCCAGCCCCAGTCCCTCTTGCCCAGCTAAGATCAGTCCTGCTTTCTTCACATCTATCCCAAGCCCACTCAAAATTCATGTTTCCTGCCATCTCATCAGTCCTTGGGCCCAGCCACGACGGCCAGTGGCTCACTGGACCATGCCTTGGAAGTTATTGGGTCCGCTTGAGTCTCCTACCTCCTCCTCCACCACCACAGCTCCCTCCTGGTCTGAGTTTCTAAACCCTCGAGAGCTGGATCCAGGTTCTAAAGCAGCCTCAGCAGACAGGCTGAGGCACCATGGGATCCAAATGCACAGGTTCTGTGACAACGATATTAGCAGCTCAGGAGCTTTCTGGGCTTAATTCTTGATGAGTTAGAACTCCCAACAAGCAATCTCCATAAAAGAGGGGTTATTTGTCCATTCACTATGTAACAAATGAGATGTCTCAGATTCTCCTACTACAAGACTCACCAAAACTCAGGGAAGGTGAGATTATGGCAGAATAAAGGCTACAGGATCTACCTTTTTCTTCAGAGAGACTTAAAAACATTAAGGAGCCAACAAACTCACAGGGATAGAAATAAAATTTTTGTAGAAAGGTCTCATGTAGTAGAAAAGTCTCCAACAAACAAAGTATGAACAAAAGTTGAGCCATTAGCTCTATTTCCATTCACTCACAAGAGGGCACCAAGCAGGTCCTTAGCTAGCAGAGTGACTTTGCACAAGGTGGTGGTGATCCTCTCCTTTCCTGTTTCTTATTTTAAGGGGAAGTAATAGGAGGCGGCAAATATTTCCAGCTCCTGAGATTTCACGGTGACTACTTGCTTCTTTAATATAAATATCAGCTTTTAATATATGAAGGACCTTCCCCTTTGGGCAATCACACAATTTCTGAATAAATACAGTAGGAAAAAATACATACACTGATAAAACTTTATAACTTTTTTTTTAAACAAAAAAGGCTTGAAAATGCAGTAAAAAATAAGTCTAGTGCTCTTTGTACACCCTGGCCTCCATGTCTTCATTCACTGCTCGCTGGAAGCTGCCGACAAAACTTCGTACCAGCTTCCAGATGCCACACGGCAACTCAGACTTTCCATGCTGCAGTAGCCCCCGGTAAACGAAACTCCGTACAAGATGATCCTGCTGTTCTTATGTCTGTTCTCCCCGGGAGAAATTCAGTTTGCAGCCAAATACATCTAGCACAGTCCTTGTCCCATCACACTGCCAAAAGACATGTGTGCGGAGCCCTCTCTCTGGAGGGCCCTCTGCTAGGCCTGCTCGTTGGCTCCTGAGCCTTTGCCTGCTGCCTGGGATTCTGAGGTACGTGAGGCCTGCTTGGGCAGGCGAATGGGGACGTAGATGTTGGAGGCACAGTGCTCCTTGAAGTACTCTCCTCCCTTTTCTTCATAGTCCTTCCTGGTGATCCAGGCTTCATCGTCGTCCATGTGGTCTAAAGCCCAGTCACGAGCACCATACCAGGCATCCAGCACAGGGTTCGAGGCAAGCTGAACCTGAAATGAGAGGCAATGCTCACTAGAAAGATGCCTCCAGCAGGCTCAGTCTCCCAGTGTGACTGCAGCAGGCTCAGCTACAGTCCCACAGACCTGCGTGTCCTCAGAAACATGTACAGGAGGCCCCAACTCCCTCTACCTCTGCACCTTCCAAGCAAAGCTGAACTGAAGCACCCAGATTCTCCAAGAGTGCACAAGATGACACAGGGCATGGGGCCCAACTCACTGAACAGGCAGTCCTTTACCAAGGCAAAGCCTGCCACTCTGGATCAGAGGGACCAGCTGGCCAGCCTCCTGCTTCACACTGTTGTCAATCACAAGCTGCCAGGACAGAGGTGAGGTGGAGGCTGGTACAAGGCTAGCCACAGCAGTGAGAGAGTCGTGGGAAAAATGACTGCTGAGCAGGTAACCAGGGTGTTCTTTGTGATGCTGCCAATGCTCAGTTCCGATTGCTCGTGTCAGAGTGCGGCTGGGGGTCGGCAGCACTGTGAGAGTCCTCAGCTAGCCTGACCTGACCATTTAGGGAAATAAATTGGGCCTCCTGATTTCTGGAACTGTCTGCCTCCTTTCCCACCATCCTCTCTCCTCCTCTCTCCTTAACCCCAGGAGTTCCATGATGCGGCAGTGTTTCAGAACTTCTGGAGGGCCAGGCCAGGCCACATGAAGCAGGATCAGCATGCACAGAGAGAGAAGGATGGGACAAGAGAAGTTTGAGCTCAGAGTCTGACTGCCCAGGCTGCCACAGAGGCAAGGGACTTGTGAAAAGTAACATTTTTGTAAGATTAGACAAGAGCCTCTGCTGCTCTGGCTTAGGAAAAGCTTGTGAGAATGAGTACAGGGTGCTTGGTACTCTGTCTTGTGGAATACTGAATTAAGGGTAGCTATCATTATCACTAGTAAGAAATGTAGCAAGATCTACCGTTAATAGAATATTACAGCCATAAAAGGGATACTTTGATAAAGGAAAAACTGTCATAATAGTTTGAAATGATAAGAAAATGACCTGAAAATATACATATAAGTAATTTTATTCAGAGAAACTATATCTAAAAAAACCTTTTTCTCTTTTATTTTGTCTTTTGAAAAAGTCTGATATCTTAGTAATGTTTTAAAATACTTTGCTATTTAAGAAAAAATAACAGAATTCTTTCTTTTTTTACAGTGTTGGGGATTGAACCCCAAGGCCTTACAGGTAAGTACCCTAATACTGAGCTACACCCCCAGATCCAGAAATTATTTTTTTTAAGGAAATATGTAAATACACATTTTGGAGTTCTCTATCTTCTAAAAATCATGCAGGGTCTAATAGTACTTATATTCGGGGCACTGCTGTACACATCATCTGCACTTAGAATTGATGGGCTAGTGACAGCATGATACACACTGGCTACATTAGCAATGCAAAAGGGAGTGGTGGAAGTGGGCAGAGGAGAGAGGGTGGACCACGACACCAGAACAGCTCTATACAAGGCTGGGGGAGAGCTGGCAACCACATTCCTACAACCAGTGCTTACGAAGTAACCATAGGAAAGGCTCTGGGCTTGCCAAGCAAGAGATATTTAAAATCCCATGAGGTTTTTCTCAACCACTTTACCATAGACGGGAAGCCAGCACTGCGTCAAGCCCCTGCTCACATTTCAGAATGCTGCCCTTATCTTCAGTGATGTTGCCCCTTCTGTCCTCCTGCCTCTTGGGATGTCTCTCCTAAGTGTCTGTTGTGTTCTATTGTCCTCAAAGGCTGCCATGATTTAGCACTTGATCCTTGACTTCACCTCCTCTCCCCAACAGTGCCCTGGGCTCCCTGAGTGTACCTTGCTATCTTTCTCCTGAGCACTCACTCACTAGCTATGGCCAGCTCTTTCTGTGTGTCCCACTGGAAGCTTGACCCACCCTGGAAACAGAATTCAGTTTCCTCCCTTTCAAGCCTCTTCTTCCTCCCATAGTTCCTAGTCCAATGAACGTCCTATTTATTAAACTAGTGGCTCCACATAAAACTTGGGGAGTTGTCTTAAATCCCACTTCTCCCCCAAATCCACAATCAGTTCTGATCACTTCATCCCCTTATCTCTCTCAAGTCAACCCCCTTTCCTCTCCCTCTGGCAATGCCTTCTTATGTTCTGTGAAGCTACCAAGCCACAGTCTTTCAAGGGCTGGAAACACCTATCAAAAGACGGACACTGTCCCTTCCCTGTTGGAGGTGAGTTTGGCAAGGGCTATAGACAAGGAAGACTCCCTGGAGGAAATAACATATAAACCAGCAACCAAGAGAGAATAGCAATGAGCTGGGAAGAGTATTCAATGTAAAGGAACCATTAGGTGCAAAGGGTCCAAGGCAGGAAAACAAGGCTTATCTGAAGAACAAACTACCTGCGTCACAGATGAAGGCTGACCTTCTTAGTAGGATGCACAGGTCCTGCATCCTGTGGGCCTGCTGACTTCTCTTCCTCTCTGCCTGCATTCCTTTTTAGCAGCCATATGCTCCAGCCACACTGTTACTTCTCCTTCCCTCAATAAATTTTTGCCCCTGCACCTTTGGGTATGCTAGTCCTTCTCTCGGGAATGATCTTGCCAAGCTACCCCACACCACGTTTCATAGACCACAAACACATTTACAACCTTAAAAGATTCAGTTCCATGGAGCCTTCCCTGAACACCAGTGGAAACTTCTAGGTGCCCATACCTTCTGTCCATCCCACTCCAGGTTATTATGGCTCATTTACTTGACTGCCACCCTCAGATAGTGAATTCCTTGCAACTGCAGGCTGTGTTCAGGATATCTCAGCATCCCTACAGTGCCTGGTCCAGGATGGGGGCTCAGACTATGTTACTTGATGATCAAGGATTTGATAGAAAAATTGTGGGGCACTCATTTATATGACAGCCATAAAATATAGTACTTTAGAAGAATAATGACATGGGAAAATGTTTATATAGGTTAGGGAAATTCAGGTAACAAAACAATACATATAAGTGCAGGAAATTTATGAAAGGCAATCTCCTTCAGGCAGGGAGAATGACTTATTCTCACCTGTGTTCTGACATCTTTGAATTTAATTATGCGCATGTCTTCCTTTTTCAATTAAAAAAAAAGTATACAAAGAATTGTTTTTCGTTCTGCTTTAAAAATTAAACGTAGATTAAAGACCAGAATAAAAGTCACAAAAATGTCAACAATGACACTGCTGATGATAGAATTATACAGTCATTTTTCTCCCTTACACTTTTACTTTTGCAATCAGAAAATAATGCTATTTTTTGAAACAGCAGCTTAAACAAACAGTACCTGGAAAGAAGACTGAAAGGGTCTCATCTCCAGCAGTTCCTTCTCCATTCTGGCTTTCATCCCAGGATACATCACATTCCCACCAGTGAGAAAAATGTTCTGGACCAGTCTCTCCTGAACTTCCTTTGGGTACCTAGGAGAGAAATGACACTCCAATTTAAATGTTCCAAGAGACTAGAAATGTGGAAATGCAAGCTTTTGGTGAGAAACAGAAAACAGCTGCTTGAAAAATTAAGATATATAAAACCAAAACTGTCATTTTTCATTCATGTCACTCTACAATGTCAGCCCAATGTTTCCAAAACCTTACTTTGAATGTTCCACTCATATCTTTAACATGATTAAATCTTCTGTGCTTTTGTAATACATTTTTCTAAAAATCAACTTTACTGAAGATTAATTTACATATTCTTTTATAAAGGCTAACAAATTTATGTACTCCCTCCCGTAGCCATCACTCCAATCAAGACATGGAACATTTCGTCATCCCCAAAGCTCCTCTCCCTGGGGTTGAGGACTCATCTCTCCATCTGTCCCTTTTTTCTTTGGTTCATTTTGTTTTCTTTTTGAGGCACGGTCTTGCTATGCAGCCCCAGGACTCAGCCAAATGAGCAGCTGGGACTACAGGCAAGCACCCCGACACCTGTTTTTTTGGGAGGTGTGGGGTGTTTTGTTTTTTAATAACCTCTTTTTGTTATTCACTTTTGATTACTTTCCCACCCATCATTAAGACATATAGCTCAAAGCCACTTAAGAGTAACAGCAGAAGTGCTTTTCCATTTTTTCATTGTGGGTGCACTTTTCCATCCTGTTATACCAAAAACAGCCCGCAAACTACAAATTATGTTCCCTACTTGTACAGCTTGAGTCATGGAAACTCACACTGCAGGAAAACGCCTTTGGAAGTGGGTGGAGGGAGGCCCACTTTGGAAATGTAAACTCTGGTATAAATACAATGTCCACAGGGAGGAAAAAAAATCCTTCATAGGCACTGCAATATTTTGGGGGTGATTTAAAATCTCCAGTCTTCAGGATTGTGAAGTTTCATATGAAAGCCAGTGCACATTACCACACTGCACTGATCTAAAGGAGTTCTTCTCGCTCCTCACATGAGCTGAGCATTTACATGTTCAGAACACAATCATAGAGCCCATGCAGGCACAGGCATGTGACAGGCCTGTCACAGGCCTGGTGACAGCACAGCAAGTGAACAACACCAAGAACAAGCGTATTTCCCAGGGCTCAACCACCATCTCTCCAACTCAAAACCCAAGGAGGGCTACAGCTGTAGCTCAGTGGCAGAGTGCTTGCCTAGCATGTGTGAGGCACTGGGTTCGGTCTTTAACTCCACATAAAAATAAATGATAATTGAAAAAAAAGAAAAAAAAATGGCTCAAGAAAACAAGTGTCACTATCTTACCTGTCCAGAATGTACTGAAGTGTCTCCGCTATTCCCGCCTGCTCTTCTCCTATGAGCGAGGGCTGGAAAATAATTTCTGGAGCTCGGATTCTTTCTGTCCCAACAAACAGCTGATGATATGCTGCCAAGTTAAACACGGGCTTTAAAAACCCAAGGTTTAAGAGAGATTTTTAGGCCACGATGACAACCATCCCAGTTGCCAGTTTCCTCACCTGCACCTCTTATTCCAGTGTAGTTTCTGTCCTCTGTGCATGGCACAGCAGCGGCTCTCCAACTCTCCTGACATGAAGGTCCAGTTTTCTACTTTCTTTCAACCTCTGAACTACAATTCCTACACACTGCACTGTGCCATGGTCCCTGAGTTGCAGGGAGCATGGCAGTGAAGGGAGGGTGGCATGAAAGGCCTAGCAGAGAAAACCACAGCTCCACCCAGGGCCTGCTTATGCGTTTCAGTCCCTGCACAAAAAGAACACTCCCTCCCGGGGGCCTCAGATTAGCCAGTTTATCCAGGTGTCACTGTAATGATAGAAATGTAGACCCTAAAGAGGATCCACTATGCCAACACTGGCTTAAATGTAGATGAAATCATCAAAAGCCAGTTAACAGACCTCCAGTTACTGGCCTATCCTTTCTCACAGACTAGTGCTGGAACCTCAGTCAGTGCTGGGGGGAAAAAAATCCCTGACTGATGTTGTAAGTACTGATGTCCCTTTCTCTAAAAAGAAAAATTAGAACTTCAAAATACATGTAATCACTAAGAAGCAAACTGGCCTTTGTGTCAACAGTTTCAGTGTACACAAGGACATGGAGGCAGGCGTCAAACCTGGACAGTGGTGACAGGTTTCTCCACTTCTGGTGCTTCCTCTGAAAACAAGGGCTCAAAATCATTCATGCTTTCCACATCTTCTAGAGATGGCTCCAGTGGCTCCAGGTCAGGGGTCTGAGGACGAAACAGAATAGCACAAACAAAACAAATCAGAACCAATATCTCCAGCAAGCCCATTCTATGAGTTCACTGTCACAAAAAAGAACTGGAATCTTGCCCAATGTTCCAAAAGCCTGTGTCAAAATTATGAACATTTTTCTATGCTATTTGAACAAAAGAATACACATGAACAGATTACAAAGCCAACAATGGGCTTTGCTTTCATTGTCTGCCTCTCCTACTTACACAAGCCTTGTCTCCTGCCTTCTCTGAAGCTTTCTAATAGCGCCAGCTTCAGGCTGACGCCCCTGAAGATATGCTGCTTGCATCAGTCACACCATCATACACACAGCTATGGGGCAGCACAGTGTGATAGGGGGTGTCCTCCAAAGCAGCTAGGCTACCAACAAAAGGTAATCAATCTATCTATCTACCTATCTATCTACCACTGAGTTACATCCCCAGCCCTTTTTCTCAATTTTTAAATTCTGAGACAGAGTGTCAGTAAGTTGCTTGAGGTTGGCCTTAAAACTTGTGAACTTCCTGCCTCAACCTCCTAAGCCACTAGGATCACCAGCATGCACAAGGCCTGGCTAAAATTAATAAATACATGTGCTGACATTAATGGGCTTAACAATTAGTCCCTTAACAGCAGGTCCTTCTGGATTGGAGATGTGAGCAAAGACTTCCTATCTGTGAAGTCCTGCAGCACAAGCTTTTCTCTTCAATGACAATGACTTGAATGGGGCCTGGGTGTGCTGACACCATTCCCAAAGAAGGGGTCACAGCACTTTTGTTTTCATTTTAACCTGAGAAAAGAGTGGAGGCAGTGGTCCTACAAGATGTCTTCAGTCATCTGTCATTCTGCCATGTGAAAGGCAGGTAAGTCTTCCTCCTCTAACCTCAAAGGATAGAAATTAGAGGAAGAAATATCTTGTTGCATCCCAGAGAAAAATGCTCTATCGATGTTAGTGGGTGCAGAGCAGGCTGACTTACAAGGTGGTGTCTGGGGAGGGATCTAGCAAACCCAGTAACCAACAGCCACAAAAGCCCGAAAGAAGATTCCACACTTAATTTGTGTTCCAAGTCCCTCCTTATTCTCAGAATCTATGGAGTATGTGAATTATCAACACAATTCAGAGAACTTAAACATAATCCTCGGGGCTGGGGATGTGGCTCAAGTGGTAGTGCGCTCGCCTGGCATGTGCGCGGCCCGGGTTCGATCCTCAGCACCACATACAAACAAAGATGTTGTGTCCACCAAGAACTAAAAAATAAATATTAAAATTCATTCTCTCTCTCTCCTCTCTTTAAAAAAAAAAAAAAACACCATAATCCTCTATGTCCTGTGCACATATATTGCAAATGTAGACTAGCAAATTGGCAATGTCCCTCAATACTCCCCTGCCCCACACTCATACGCCCCAAATCACACGGCATATGTGCCAAACAAAATGCACAACAATGTGTTCCTGATTCTGTTCAATTTAAATGATTTGACCATGTATAAGGGGCATTTCCCAGGCTTGAGCATAAATCCTACAAAGGAAAAATAATACTTCATCGGAGACCAAAGGACCAGATGAGAAACCTAGTTTACAAAGAGGTAATTCAAGAAGGACAGGAGGTAGGTTATGGACAAAGCCTCTGGGTCTCAATGAAGGAGGTCATGGATCAGCTCATGATCAGGAAGCTGTGGCTCAGGCAGAAGTAACTCACATAAGTGGTGGAAACATGGTAGGGGAGAGAACAGCTCAGCTCCAAAGCTTTGTTCTGCCTTCAGCTGAAATTCTATAAATCAGGAGTCTGAGTGTAAGGAAATCAACTAAGGCTTTAGGAATAGGAAAAGACCTAGCTTGAGGCCAGAGTGGATAATAAAAAAAGAGATGAGCAAGAAGTCTCACCTGCCCAGCAAGTCTTGCTGACATGCTAAATGACATTTTCCTTTGCCCTAACAAGAGTAAAGTTTGACCACATAGTTTGTAATCTGTAAGATGCTGAGCAAGTCCTGGGAGTGCCTAAGCCTACTCTGGAGCATTAACCCAGCTCTGAGAAATGACACAGGAGATCCCACAAAGACCAAAAGTGGATCACCCAAGTTCTCTTCCATTTGAGGCACCCAGGAACCAGGAAGCAGTATGATATAAAGAACAAGCTCCTGTTCAGAAAAATCCTTCTTTCCTTTCTTTTAAGCACTCATCTGGCCCCTTCAACAATTCAGCTGTATTAGTGGAATGGAGACACACAAATGCTGTGTATCTAAAATAATGACAGACAAAGCTTGAGACCTCCCCCCCAATAGGAGCAAGTACTGGGGGGTTCCACTCTACTCCCCATGCCCCATAAAGGGACCCTCCCGACAAAAAAGAGGTAGTCTCAGCAGGAGTTCAGGAGGACTCCAACAGAAACTGATGCAAATAATGTCAAGTGACTTCTCCAGTACAGTCATGACAGGAAGTGATGAATGCATGCAGCTTCCTTCTACCTCCACTCCCTGAAGTGTGTGCACCATGAACACATCTCATGGAAGCTCCTTCTTGGAAGCCAGTCACCCCTCGCTGCAAGAGGCCCTGTCTGGAGCTGGGGTCAACAGTCTTTTCTAAACTCTGTCTTGGGAGTTGCCCCAGGCCCGATGCTAGATAGTTAAGTGAAAAACCCTCCAGGTGACTCTATCCTCAATTTTTCATGTCTTCCCAGTCCAGGCATCACAGAGCAGATCTGATCTACTCTTCCAGAATCCCTGACCCATTAAACCCGCGAGGACAAATGAATGGTAGTTGTCTTACACTATTAAGTTTAAAGCAACAGATAAGTGAGCCATGCTTCAGTGGTGCAAGAATACAGAAAGCCCTAGACAGCTACTAGGAACCCTCCATTACCTCCCAGCTTCCTGGTGCAGTGCTCACAGCCATTGTCCCAGACCCTTCCAAAACTCTCCTCTTCCTAGTATCAGTCCTGAGATTATTAGCAGACCCTTTTTGTTGCTTTAAAAACCGAACTTCCTACTTATTCTCCATTTGACCTCCTTTTCTTTTTTCTTGTCCTTTCATCCTTCCACCAAAGGATAAAGGTACCATCTTCTATCTGAGGTCAGGCCGACCATCTGTGATCTTAAAACTCTACGAACCTCTCTGATTTCCCTATTCTCTGCAGGTTTTGTCTCACACAGAGAGCTGGCATTCCCAGCACTCTTCTCTCCCTCCCAGCAGAGTGTTCTCCTCAGCTGAGTCCTGGAAAGCTCTCTGTTCTGTGCTCTCCGCCCTTCTTTTGAGGCACTCAGAAGGGCAGAAACCTTATATTTTTTGTCTTTTTAGGAACCTTATCTTAATTACTTCTGCATTCCTGATGCCTGGCATACACTAGGTGGTAGCGCCCACCTTCAAATTCCCCCAGAACAAAGACTATAAAATTTTGGGTTTCAAAAGACTTCTTCAGTTACAAGAAAAACAGCATCATTTACCTTTTTCCAGCTACATTCAAAGCATGTCACCTTACAAATAAAACTTATTAGCTTCACTAAAAGTGGTTTAAAAATTTATTTATGCTAATTCATACAATTCAGAGAGGAACCAAGCTAGTAATTTCAATGCAAACATGCACCCCACAGAGGAGAGTCCTGTTGGCTGACTACACCCCCCACTCAGATTCTCCAGGGTCTCCACATGTACTATGTATTTCAGGAAGACTAACACAACTGTTCCTTTGGAACCAGATAGATTAACAGTCTGCCAGGGGTTTCAGAAGCAGCAGCAGGGTTTCCTGGAATTTTCTTGAGCAGCGGAACAACAACAGGGACCAACTCTGATCCTGCTAGTAAAGCCAGAGAACTTTCTGTATTGGCCCCACTGTGTTTTCCAACAAATGATGACATTCTAAATCTGCACACACACACCTCCAATGCTATGCCTGTGGCTGTGAAAAGTAAGCATCTTCTACTTTAACTACTGCGTTAAGAATGCTAACAAAGCCTGCTCCTTACAACATTCTCACAGGAATAGTTTCAGAATACAAACAACTAGAACAGATTGGTCTGTAGGAAAAATGGATGTTGGGAAACAGTGTAAGTTTTAAATTCCCAGTTATATAAAGCCATTACTGCATAAGTGGAGTTTCACAGGAACTTCAACTCACCATCTATTCACTTCATTCAAAGTGAATTATATTGTTGGAAAATACTTTTTTGAAGGTAGAACTTGTTATAGCTAAATTTATCCCATGAATTTGACTGTAACTGACTCTAGTCACTAACAATCACACTCAATAAATGCTGACTGACCATTAAAGCTTCAGCGACAGCAATTCAGTAAATTTGTTATATAGAGAAGCCTCTTTCGAAATACAACATTTCAAAATCTCCCCAAGTCCAAGGCATTCTGATGTGTGTCCTCAGAGCACAGAACAAAGGTATATAGGACACATAGGAAGAACCTGTGAATGAACAGAGGAACACCTGAATCACAGCGTGTAACAAATGCAGAAAAAGGAACAAAGAAAAGGAAAACCCAGTTCCCTCAACTGCTCAGGAATCACATTTTCACAGCTATTCATTTTTAACTTTAAATCTGAAACTCCTCACCTGCATGTGGCTTTGTGGCACCTCTCTAATATAAAGACACTTATGTCCCACTGATATGCTGAGCATGAGGAAGACTAAATATGGATGAACACTTAACAGAGACAACATGGATCTGGGTTGCATAAAATCACAGGTCAAATCTGGGGGAAGCAACAAAAAGGCACAGTGATTCAAGAGAAGCTGATCTGGGTAGAGAAAGGAGGCCAAAGCCCTTCCTTCCCTAGATCGTAGTGACCAGAGAGGGGGATCCAGGAAGACTAGCTCAGGATGTGCTCTATAAAGCAAGCGTGCTCATGGCTGGCTCAGTCCTCAGTTGCAGCCTATCAACAGAGGGAGAGAATGCAAGTCCAAGAGCAAAAACTACAGTAAAGTAAGCTTCCTGCTGAGCCAAAGATGGCTGTGACCTCACTGATGAGCACCACATCACACAGGGCATCAAACAGCATTGACTCACATCTTTCTACAGTACTGTTTCTAAAAACACAAGAAATCAAGAGTTTTTAAAAAGCTGATTGATTTAAAAACAAAAAAACAACAGCTATTCTCGTTAATCCTGCTCAAACATGTCATAAGATAATGAGTAAGTTCCTTTGTTTTGGAATTCTAGGGATGACAAATTCAGTTATGTTGTATACACTTAATAGTACTCTGTTCCAGTTCTACAGACAGGACACCCGGCCAGTGACTGCTGGGCTGAATTGATATAGGCTATCCATTCCTTCACTATGTAGGCCCCAAGGTATCAGGTCTGGGCTACAGAGGTCCTCAGCTCAGTTCTTCCACTTGCCCTTGTGGTCACACTAACATCTATTATTAACAGTCCACTGGCAGAGAACGGAAAGGAGCAAAAGGAAATTTAAGAGCTTATCCAGAGTTAGTCTTTAGTATCTAATTAAAAAATGATCTTGGCTGGGGTTATAGCTAAGCACATGTGAGGCACTGAGTTTGATCCTCAGCATCACATAAAAATAAATGAATAAAATAAAGGCATTGTGTCCATCTACAACTAAAAATATTTTTAAGTCAACCTGTAAATGTTTTATCGAGCATATCTGCCAGTTATTGTAAAAAAAAAATCCATAAACTTGGGCTGGGGTTGTGACTTAGAGGTAAAGCACTCACCTAGCATGAGTGAGGTGCTGGGTTCAATCCTCAGCACCACATTAAATAAACAAACAAACAAACAAACAAATAAATAAAAGATTGTGTCAGCCTATAACCTTTAAAAAAAATCCATAAACTATGTATGAAGCATGAGCCCTATTCTGAGTTGACTTCAAGATGGAAAGAGGTAAATGAACAATCAACCATGATGTACTGTTAAATGACAAAGAAACAGGTTCAGGGCTGGGGATGTGGCTCAAGCGGTAGCGCGCTCATCTGGCATGCGTGTGGCCCGGGTTCGATCCTCAGCACCACATACCAACAAAGATGTTGTGTCCGCCGAGAACTAAAAAATAAATATTAAAAATTCTCTCTCTCTCTCCCCCCTCTCTCACTCTCTTTAAAAAAAGAAAAAAAGAAACAGGTTCAGGCTCAAGGAGCAACACAGAACTGGTGTGAATGTTCTTCGTAGTTCACATTCCGTTGCCCGTCGTGGGGTGAGATCCCTCTGCTCAGAACTTCTCCAGTACAAATCTGCCATGGCTACCTCCATCCACGCACCTCATCAAGCTGCTCTCTCCCCCCAACACCTAGTCACAACGCCTTTGATACCAGCCTTAAGGCATTCCTGCCTCTCAGGAGGGCTGCTCTCTCTAAATGACCCCACTGGGTCTCCCTCTCAAGACCTTCAGTCACCTCTGGCTTGCTGTCCACCACGTCCACCTCGAGGTTGACTTCTGCTTGAAGGATTTTCTGTTTCGCTTGCTCCACTGCTGCACTGAGCTTCTGTATGTAGGACTGCAGCTCTTCTGGGGAGTCCATGTTCAGCTCTATCAGAGCTTTGTGAAACTGATCCATCTGGCCATCCTCTAGAAGTTCCTGAAACCAGAACAGTCATATACACATAGTGCAATCACAAAAAGGAAGGAAAGAAAAGTAGCTTAAAAGCCAAGTAGAAAGAACTGCAGCAGGAGGAGGTTCCCAGAGTTCCCCTAGCCTGCCTTCCACAGACTTACACTTCTAGCTCCCCCAAAAAATGTTCAGATGGCTGCCCTCCTCCCCTGCTGTTCTGGACTAGGATCAAAGCCTGGCTAGGCTAAACTAATCTATAGTGACAGACATCAGAAATGTTGTCATCTTTACGGGGTAGTTATTGGCAAAGAGGAGATAAGAGGGAGGATGGTGATACTATTTCTTGACTTGAGGGCAGACACATGGCACATATCACTTCAAGAAAATTCAACAAGATGCATACTTAAGATCTGAGCACATTGCATCATACATACTACACTTAAAAAATTAAAAAACAAATTAGCTGGGCACAGTGGCACATGCCTGTAATCCCAGTGACTTGGGAGTCTGAGGCAGGAGGATTACAAGTTTAAGGCCAACCTGGGCAAATCAGCAAGACCCTGTCTCAAAATAAAAAATACAAAAAAGGGCTGGTGATGTAGCTCAGTGATAGAACATCCTTGGGTTCAATCTACAGTACCAAAATAAATAAATAAACTAACTAACTAAAGGAGACTATAAAGCAAAAAAAAAAAATCAAAGCTGGAGTCAACAACTCTTTCAGAAACACCTATTGCCATACTAGACTCTGTATTAATGATCTCAGTTCTAATGATCCCCCTGGGCTCCTCCTTAACCCCCAGAGTGACTTACAATAATCAATTTCTTTTCTTTTAAATACTGGTGATTATACCCCTGAGGTACTTAGCCACTGAGCCACATCTCCAGCCTTTTTTATTTATTTTTTAAATTTTATTTATTTTAAATTCTGAGGGTCTCACTAAGTTGCTTGGGGCCTCATTAAATTGCTGAGGTTGACCTCAAACTTGTAATCCTCCTACCTCAGCCTTCCAAGTCACTGAAATTACAGGCATATATCATCATGTCAAGCTTAATCAATATATTTATGGCTAAGGAAAAATTCAGAGGAGAAAATTCCTTGGGACCACCTTCTTAAGTGAGGCCAGAGACCCATCCCAGCATCTGCTGTCACCTGAACATAGAGTAGTCGGTCCAGTCGCTCCTGATCCAGCTGCAGCTTCTCCTCTCGCCGCCGAGCATTGAGCTCCTGCAGCCGCCGTAGCTGCTGCTGCCGCCTCTCCTGCTTCTCCTCAGCAGTCAGAGTGCTGCCCAGGAGCTTGCTGGAAAACGGAAGCTGCATCTTGTGGACATTGTTCTCATAATAATCAGGGCACTGCCACTTTTGCAATTCTTTAAAGAAAAAATTTTAGAAGTCATGAAATGGAAACACTAACAACACAAAAATCAAAACACAAGGATTTCAGATGCAGGTTAAGATGGAGAAAACACCATAGGGCCAATCTCTGAATCCACTCAATCAACTACATGCTGCAATAAAATGTGGACATATTGCCAGCAGACCTGTTCTAAAAGAACTGATAAGTGATGTTGTTCAAATAGAAATCGTACCAGAAGGAAGCCTAGAACATCAGGAATGAAAGAACAGCGATGGAAATTATGAAAATCTGATTAAACCCAACACACTAATCTCCTCCTGAGTTCTTTAAATTAGGTTTGACAATTGAAAGTAAAAAAATCACATCACTGTCTGATGGGCTTCCAGCATATACAGATGGACACGTGTAAGACAGCACCAGTGAGTCTAGTATTAACATTTCTACATTCCATTTCAAGTAGAAAATATCGATTCTAAATAGGCCATGAAAAGTTAAATTTACAATAATCTCAAATAACTGCTTAAAAAAACACAGATATAGTAAAAAAGGAGAAAAAAAAAAACCCAGAAAAGTTAAAATGGAATTTAAAAATGTTCAAATAACCTAAAAGGCAAGAGAGGAACAAATAACAAACTGAGGGAACAACAATATTAAAAATATAAAAATATAAAATCCAAATATAAATAATAAATTGTAAAAAATTATAAAAAATTGTAAAAAATCTGACATAAAGATTTTTTTTCTTTTTGGTACTGGGATTGAACCCAGGGTGCTATACCACTAAGCTACCTCCGAACCCTTCTTATTTTGAGATAGGGACTGGCTAACTTGCAGTTGGCCATGAACTTGAAATCCTTCTGTCTCAGCTTCCCTAACTGCTGGGATTATAGGCAAGCACCACTGTGCTTGGCTATAATAGACTTTTAAAAAATGATCTAACTACTAAGAAATTCATTTTGAATACAGCAATATTAATAGGTTAAAAGTTAAAAGACAAAAAGATGTGCCATGCAAGCCCTAATCAAAAGAAAGCTGGCGTGGCTTTATTAATGCTCAAGCAGACTTCAAAGACAATTGCCAAGGATAAAGAGGGACAATACAACGGATGGGGTTGCGGCTCAGCGGTAGATCGCTCACCTCACATGTGCGAGATCCTGGGTTCGATCCTCAGCACTACATACAAATAAATAAATAAATAAACAAACAAGTGGAAAAAAATTTTAAAAAAAGAAGAGGAACAATACATAATGATAAAAGGTCAATTTGGCAAGAAGTTTGTTAAATATGCACCTACCAAAAAAGAGTAAAATACCTGAAAACAAAACCTGACAGAACTGAAAGGAGAAAAAGGAACACCCACAAGTACACCCAAAGATTTCAATTCATTTTTCTCTAGTATCTGCAGAGTTAATAAATGGGAAGTGAACAAGGATACAGAAAAACGGAGCAACACCTCAACCAATGGAAGCTAAGTAACAGCCCAGGACACACTCCAGAATGCATATCCTTTTCAGGAACCTTATGCCAGCTGGGCTTGGTGGCACTCGTTTATAATCCCAGAAACTCAGGAGGCTGAGGCAGGAGGATCCCAAATGCAAAGCCAGCCTCAGCAAATTAACAAGACCCTATCTCAAAATAAAAAATTATAAAGAAGGGCTGGGGTTGTAGCTCAGTGGTAGAGTGCTCACTTAGCACATGTGAGGCACTGGGTTCAATCCTCAGCACCACATAAAAATACACAAAATAAAGGTATTGAGTCCATCTACAACTAAAAAAAAAAAAAAAAAAATTGGGTTGGGGATATGGTGTTTAAGTGCCCCTAGGTTCAATTCCCAGTACCACCCCCACCCCCCAAAAAGTAATTTCTGCCAAAGTTGACCAGACCCTGGGTTATCAAACAAGCAAATTTAACCAATATTAGACAAAGAACTTTGATCATAACAGAATTAAGCTAGAAATAAATCACAGAAAGATAATAGGAAAATCTCTAAATGCTGTATATAAAGCAATCAATTGCTTAAAGAAAATTAATCAATTGCTTAAAGAAGTAGTCTTGAAGAAAACTAGAAAACATTATAATTCAATAAAAATGAAAATATATCAAAATTTGTGGGATACAGGTAAAAAGCAGTGCTGTGAGGGAAAACTGCAGAATTAAATGCTAGGCTTTTTTGTTTTGGTAGTGGTTGTTTTCAAAAGAACATTTTCATAACAATCTTAAGTTTCAAGAAGAGGAGGAAAATGAATCAAGCAGAAAAAAAATAAATAGAAAAAACCAATGGGGTTACCTAAATAGTCCTGTGTCTATTAAAGAAATTGAATTCATAGTTAAATGCCTTTGTAAAAAGAAATCCTTAGACTCAAATGGTTCTCCTGGAGAAGTCTACCAAACATTTAAAGAAAAAAACATAACATCAATTATTTACACCGTCATCCAGAGAGTAGTAAGAGGCAGAGCACTTTTCAACTCACTGAACAAGGTCAGTCATCACCTTAACACCAAAATAGCACAAGAAACCATATACCAATGCCCCCCATGAAACAGACACCAAAAAAATCCCTCATAAAATAGTAGCAAATCAAGTTCAGCTATACATACATTAAAAGAGTAATACACACGAACAAGTAGGTTTCCAAAAAAACAAGAATGGTTCCATATTCAAACACAATCATTATAATCCCCCACATCAACAGTCCAAAGCAGAAACAATTCAACAGCTTTGAATCTTCTAAAGTTAAACATATATTTACCATATGCCTGTACATTAGTACGTAAAGCAGCTCCAGCCACAACCACCAAAAACTGGAAACAACCCAAATGACTATTCATGATGAATAGATAAACAAACTGTGGTGCCTCCACATAATACAATACAGTTCCACAATAAAAAGGAAAGAACCACTGAGATCCTCAACAATTTGGATGAATCTCAATGGCATAACACTGAATGAAAGTTTCAAAAAGTTACATATCCTATTTATATAACATTTTGGAACAGATGAAAATTACAGTAACAAATAACAGGTGAGCAACTGCTTGGGATGGGGACAGAATATGACTTATAAAGAGAAAGCATGAGCGAGTTTCTTGGGATAAAAGTACACACAACTGTGATAGTGGATCTACAGATGTGTTATAATTCACAGAACACACCCCCCAAAAAAGTCAATTACAAAACAAGCTGATACCAGAACACCTTGAGAACAAAGAAGGAAAAGCAGAGAGAGCTGTGTCATCTGACAAGCACCTCCCTGGCCTGAGGGTGCTCCCAAATTCTTTGTCAGACGGCATATATGTTGCTTGGGTCTGAACCCAGGGCCTCACATGATAAACAGGCACTCTACCATTGAGCTACAGCCCTAGCCCCACAGATTCTTTCTTTTTATATGTCTCTCTCTAATTTCTTTTATCCCAGGAATAACAGGTACTTAAAAGATTTCTGAAGACACAGCCCCTTAGCCAGTACTATACTGTACACTTAAAAACGATTAAGATAGTAAATTTTACGTTATGTGGTTTTCACCAAAATTAGTTTTCTTTTAAAGACAGTGTTTGCCCTTCTGGAGCTTAGTAGTAGTAGTCAACTGAAGTAAAGATGTCAACGAGAAAACCCATCCACACACTAGGTGTGGTGGTACATGCCTGTAATCCCACTGAATTGGAAGGCTGAGGTGGGAGGTTCACAAACTAGAGGCCAGCCCCAGCAACTTAGCAAGACCTTGTCTCAAATTAAAAAAAAATAAGGGCTGTGGATGTAGCTCAGTGGTAAAGAGCCCCTGTGTTTAATAGCCAGTGCCAAAAAAAAAAAAAAAAGTGAATACCAAAAGAAAAAGGGGGTGCTAAGAGAAATAGAATAAAAACATAAGAAAGCAAGAATCTTAATAGCTTAGAACACTCCAAAGGTCACCAACATCCAAAAGCTGCAGCAGGCAAAGTCCTCTCCTTTACCTTCCCCGTAGTCCTCAGCAATGTAGCTGTGCTCATGCAGGATCTCCTCCATGCGGCTGAGAGTGATGGCCGCCAGGTGCCCCGGATACTTCAGTTGGAGGAGTCGCTGGAGGTAACCAGCTGCCTGGCTTCCTCCAAGATTGATGCGTTTGCAGTTTTTGGCATCTAGCCTGCAATCAAGAAAAAATATATTTTTTGGCAACACAGAGAAGAGAATATGAACTATCTTGGAAATAGAATAATTTAATGAAGACAAAGAAACGGACAAAAAGTGGGGGTGGCATAAAACTTTAGAGCTCCTGGGCACAGTGGCAGACACCTGTAATCCCAGTGGCTCAGGAGGGTGAGACAAGAAGAGAGAAAGTTCAAAGCCAGCTGCAGCAACTTACCAAGATCCTAAGCAACTCAGCAAAACCCTGTTTCTACATAAGATAAAAAAGGCTGGGGATATGGCTCAGTGGTTAAGTGCCCATGGGTTTAATCCTTGATACCAAAAAAACCCAAAACCCTTACAATTGCAAGAGACTTAAGTCCTCTTAGTCTAACCTCTTAACCAACACAGAAATTTCCACATCCAGATACCTGGCCATCTAACTTCTGGCCAGTCTCAGAAGGAAAACAGGTTTAAGAGAGAAAACACAAACTCCAAAGTCAGACCTTTATGTGACTCATCATGTATTTCCCAAACTGTGGTCCTGGAACCATATCCTAGAATATAATTCCTAGAATTAGCTAGGAAAATGTTAAACATGCTGATTCCCAGGCCCATTCGTTCTTGGGTGGGCCTGGGAATCTATATTTTAATAAGCCTTTCCAGAACTCCTCCCCTACACAATCCACTTCTATTAATGCAATTAGAGTAAATAATAAATCACCTATAAGCTTACTGGCATCTTCTAAGGGCCAGATCTCTTTCACATGAACCAAAGGTTCATGCAGTACTGAGGATTGAACACCAGGGACACTCTATCACTGAGCAACATCCCCAACCCTTTTTTGTGGGGGACAGGGTTGCTAAGCTGGCCTGAAACCTGGAATCCTCCTGCCTCAGTCTCCCAAGTTGGGATGTACCACCTCACACAACAACTTTAGGCTCCTAATGTAAGAAAGGGAGAGTAGCAGAGCACTGGGAATTTGCTGCATATTCAAACACTGCTGTTCAATCATACTTCACCAGGAGATGGCAGCACAAAACAGGCCATGCACCAATCTGAAAATTCCTTAGTTTTCAGATAAAATAATTTTCTCTCAATAGAATATACATGATTTCTTTAATTTCTGTATATTCTGCTTACATAAACTATAGAATTCCAAACTTTGGAAAAGTTTGATAATGCCTTACTTCTGGTTTTACAGATTTTCATGGAAACTTCAAGAGAGTCTCATTATGGTCTCAATAAACTCAATGGCATTTGTTTGCCTTAAATATTCAGACTGCTTTACAATTTATAAAGTACCACCACCCATATCACTCATTTCATCAAGCCTGGAAAGTTATTTTTTTCCAATTTCACATGTGAGGAAACAAAGATGTTAAGTACCTTATCTTAGCAGGGCTACAAACCCGGGCATTCAACTCCAAGGCCAAGGCTCTTTCCCTGTAGTGTCAACTCTTTAGGCAATATGAGAAGCATAAAGTTGGCCTAATCTCTTATAGGACAATGAAAGAAAGCCAAACTATCAAGTGGGAATAGACAAACTATCTTTGTCTTTTATTCAACTCAGAAATTTTTAATAAATGCCTCTATCAGGTACTATAACCGAACAGAAAGGTATGAGTAGTGATCAAAGAGTTCGAAAATTTTTAAAAGTCTAAATTAAAAAGTGACTACATAACACAAAGTTAGTCTAATTAAAATTTTTTCAAATAATTTATTCAAAATATTTTTATTGAGTGCCTATTATCTACAGGTACTATGTTAACTATCTCCCCATTAGAATTATAAAATTCTAGAACTAACCTAAGAGACCTAAGAGACCATCTCCAACTCCTTCCAGGAGGTCACAAAGGTCAGGCAAAGTGATGTAGTCATACAGTGATGTAGGTCAGAGCTAAGCCCAGCTCAGTTTATAGACTGGAGTCTAGTACATGCTCTTTCCACTCCAACTTTACAGTAAACACTAAATGTTTACTGAATGCTACTTTTGGGCAGGGGAAAGCTGAGGATCAAACCCAGGGCCTCATACATGCTAGGCATAGCTCCCTACCATTGAGTCACATCCTTGGTCCCTGAATGCTTCTTAAAATACCACTCAAAAGTCACAACCCACCTTCCTTCTAAGATGGGTAAAATATGTGTACACTGGTATCCAGATGAAATGATGAGCCCACAGGAAACTGAGTTCTTTGACTTATTGTGGTAGAAGCTGAAGAGGCTGTCTATTCCATAGGCAACCTTGGGGATCCTGTAGCACTCAAAAAGGAGTTCAGACATCATTTGGCGTGAATATAGTGGATTGCACACAGCTTCTGTCAAAACTATGGGATGATCCACACAGCCCTAGTTTGAAAGAAAAGGGGAAAAAAATGAGTGATAACAGAATACTCTTTAAAACATTAAAAAAAAAATCTTAGTGCAGAGCAGAATTCACATTTGATCCCTAATCAAAAACCTGACCAGAAATAAATAAAAAAAAAAAAATCTTGGGCTGGGGTTGTGGCTCAGTAGTAAAACACCTGGCATGTGCAAGGCACTGGGTTCAATCCTCAGCACCACATAAAAGTAAATAAATAAAATAAAGGTATTGTGTCCAACTTATTAAAATATATATATATATATATATATATATATATATGTACGTATGTATGTATAAATCTTGTCTTTACTGGAAAATATGAAGCTTAAGGTTATTAAGTGAAACCTCATCCAAACTGTCAGTAAATGATGTTGGCTAAATGATTATATCCAAAATACCTCTAGAATCCAACTGGTTCTTATCACATCCCCTACTACTTATCTAAGTTGTCACCATCCCTCATCTGCTTTATTCCAAGTCTCCTAAGGGGTCTTCCTGTTTCCATGACAGTCCATTCTGCATCAGCTATAGTGATCCTTTTTAGATAAAAATTGTGTCCCTCCTCTGCTTGATGCCTTGCAACTGCTCCCCAATTCACTCAGAGGAAAAACCTATAAAGCGTGCGAATTGTCCCCACACTACTTCTCTGACATCCTCTTCCTGGTAGCACCTATCCAGGTACTTGCCCCCTCACCCCTGCCGTCCTGCGATTAGGATTATACCATACTCCGAATCAGTGCCTTTTCACTGTCTATTCTAACTGGGATACTTTTCCTTCATATATTCACAGGGCTTGCTCCTTCAATTATCTCCTTCAAGACCTTGCTCAGACATACTTTCCCCAGAGTCCCTACTCCAACCACACATTGAAAAAAATGTAACCTCCTCATCTTCTTCTATCACAGCACTGACGTCTGTCTTTTCATACTAGTATCTTTCCACACTAGCTCCATTGGCATTAACAGTTTTGTGCGATGTTCACAGTTGAATTCCAAACGCCTAAAATAAAATGCCTGACACAGGGCTGGTGCACAGTACGTATTCATAAATAAATCAGACACGAGCATATAGGCCCTAACGTATATTCTATGGGAAAAGAAAAGGCATTGTTCGATCACTACCCTAAAGCAGGGCACACACATTTTAAGTACTTAGCATGATCGACTAAGCAGAAGATAATCAGAGCCACTGGAAGCCTGACTCCCTCCTGAAAAGCTGAGTGAGCGGACAGACCTCATCCCTCCCTTACGCCCAGCCCACCCCGCTTGCACCTGTGAGGAGACGCCCAGGTGCTGGAAGCTGTAGTCCAGCAGCAGCTCCTGTAGCTCCAGGTTGACGGGCACGTTGCGGTCGAAGGGCGAGCGCAGCATCCAGCGGAGCGGCTCCAGGCTGCCCAGCGCGTTGCCCACCTGCGGGCCCGCTCCGCCTCGAGCCCCGCCGCGCCCGCGGGCGCACACAGCGCGGAACTGTAGGCGCGGCTCGGGGCCCGGATCCGGCCCGGGGCACGCCCAGCCGGCGCGGGCCTGGAACGACCCATTGTCCAGCACCAGCGGTAGGGGCAGTGGCCCGTGTGCCACGGGTCCGACCTCCAGTACAGGATCCGGCGCGGCTCGGGCGTCGCGGAACGGGAACACGTTGGCCGCCATCTTAGAGCGCGCCGTCCCCGCCCCTCGACGCAGCGTTCGCCCTGCCGCCGCCGCGAAGCCCCGCCCCCTACGTAAGGCCGTACGGCTTGCGCCCGAGAAGGCTTCAGGACAACCACCTCTCGCGAAGCCAGGCCAATCTCTCTCCCTAACTCGCCCTTGGTGGTCAAGGTTATAAGCTTTCGGGGCCGCTAGGCCAAGCCCATTCTGGCCACGAATCCTGACGTTGGTTAACCTTGTCCCGGGCCCATAAGAGGCCACGCCCCTTCGTTCTAAGCGGGGCTGCAGACCAGGAAGCCCCGCCTCCAGCGCGTAGTGCCGCCAGGCTCCGCCCTTTCCGGCCTCTAGACTGCCTTTTTTTTTTTTTTTCGGCTTTTGACTAGTCACGCCCCCCTTGCCAGGAGAAGCTCCTTATCATCTTGGGGTCCGCCTTCGCGTGCTTACCTTTCCCTAGCCCTGCAACTTGCTTAAAGGAGACCCTTTCCCTGTGACTATTCCCTCAAGCTGTCTAGGAAACTCAAACTCTGGAGTACTGACAATGTTTAACTATGGGACAAAAGCTCGCAATGCAGATGACTTCACTTCGTGAAAAATTTTCAAGCGGTTCACTTATGATTGCTGCATTTCTCAGCATGTATATGTTGCAATACAATACAAAAAAAAAACTTTATAATGTCACCAGGTTCTAGCCAATAGGGGTGGGAGTGGAGTTGATGTGGTCCACTCCCACTTTTAGCCCTAAAAGCGTTGGGCACACTCTCCTTTCATTTTCTTCTTCACTAGCTAAGGAGATAATAAGAATCAGAGCATCTACCCTAAATGTACCAGCTCTGGAACACTCAGTTTTGAGGGACAAAGTCAAGATGATTATTCAAGAAAGCTCTGAATAGACACTCTGAACAAGATAGAAGATTCTGAACCTTTCTCAAGAATCGCTGTTAAAGTTTCTGTACAGTTTTTCATTATATTACGAGTTGCCCTTTATTTCACACAGAGTCATGCATACATTGGAGCCCTCTTAATTGTATGAATACACTCTGATATTTGCAAGATGAAGTCACCTAACAGTGCATATCTCAGAATAGATCTCTATCATGAAGCGATGCATGACTGTACTTTTTACTAATGGAACCCCCCCAAACCCTCAAACAGATGTCTAAATATCCCTCAATTATTTAACTCATAAAATGCAGTATCAGTTTCTGCTTCCTGAAGAAGTGTCTTCCAAACAGGCTAGCTCCAACCTGGCCCTCTGCCCAGTGCCTGTAGCACAGCTCTCATCCTGGGGTCTTGCTTTTCCATCATCTCAGGATTTTCTTTTACTTGTGTGTTGTGGTCCCTCTCCTGTCTAGTGTGTGCTTTTTTCTTGGTGTACTCTCTTGCTTTGAAGTAGCAAATACAATAGACTATGGAATGAATATAAGGGAGGGTATTAAGGATAACTTTTTGAGACCTTGAATGTCTTTAAGTGTCTTCTAACCCAGTGATAATAATGTTGAAGGTATGGCTGAATTCTAGTTTGGAAGTCATTTTCCTTTAGAATTGAAAGCACTTTCCATTTTTTCCTTAGTTTTCAATTTTGCTGAGAAATGTGAAATTGACCTTTGACCTTTTATGTGAACATTTTCTTTCTCTGGAAGCCACTAGATGTTCTCTTTGCTTCCAGGGTCCTGAAATTTCATGATGTAATGGATCTGTTTTCTTCCATCATGCTAGGCAGTCAGTAGTTCCTGCTTAATACAGCAAGTCAAGTGATGTAGATGCCTTCAATTCCTGATAATTCTATCTCTGTTTTTTATTCAGTCTTGTTTTTTATTTGTGGTACCAGGGATTGAACCCAGGGGTGCTCAGCCACTAAGCCACATCTCCATCCCTTTTTTCTATTTTATTTAGAGTCAGGGCCTCACTGAGTTGCTTAGCACCTCTTTTTTTTTTTTTTTTTTTTTTTTAGTATCAGGGATTGAACTCAGGGGCACTCAACCACTGAGCCACATCCCAGTCCTTTTTTTTTGTATTTTATTTAGAGACAGGGTCTCACTAAGGTGCTTAGTGCCTCGCCATTGTTGAGGCTGGCTTTGAATTCTCCATCCTCCTGCCCAGCCTTGGGAGCCGCTGGGATTGTAGGCTTGCACCACCATGCCCAACTCTCTAAATTTCTTATTTTTCTTTGCTCTTTTCCTTTCTCTCCCTCTCTCTCTCTCTTTTTTTAAGTGGTTGTCTTTAAATCTTTTGGTTTATTGAAATTTACCCACAGTGTATCTGAATATCAATCTTTATCTCTTTTAATCCTGATTTCAATTTTGTTATGTCCTTCGGATCAATGGTTTGTGTCTTATCTTTCCTCTTTCCTTTTTTTCTCTCTCTGGAACTCCTACTAGATATATGTTATGCCTTCTCTATTTTGAATTTCTCTTACCTCTTTTCCATAGTTCCTGTAGAGTTACATGTCCCTACACATGCTGATATTTATTCAGGTATACCTTTTAATTATGCCTCTCTTCAGTGTTGTTTATTGATTTTTAAATTTTGGTTATTAAAATTTTTAATTATGGAAGCTGTTTTTCAGATCTGCTTGGGGTTTTGTGTGTGAGTCTTGATCTTTTCTTGTTTCAATTTTTATGTCTGAATAAAAGATATTTTTCATGGTCTCAGTCAAAGTATTCTATTATCTGAAATGTTTGGAAGGGTAATATTGTGTTTTTTTGTTTGTTTTTGTCTGCTAACTCGCTTTTTGGTGATAGATTCCTCTTATATTTTCTGTCAGAACCCCATGTGATTTGGGGTAAGGACACTTTATACCTTTATACACCAAAGAATTAGTATATATGCTTCTTTCAGATATCCTAGAAGTATTGACAGCCAGAAACTTGTATTATTCCCTGGCTTGGCACTTGTAAACTAGGAAGAAAGTTAAATTTGAATTCTAAGTCAATGTTAGGTAGAAGGTCATGATTATTAGTTCTCCTGGAAACTGTTCTTTTTCACAAAAGACAATAAACATCCCAGCCATCTTCCTGTGCCTTAGAGAGATTGTTTTCAGTCATTCTCTCCATAAGCAAATGGTTCCTAGGAGGCCTTAGCTAGATTATTTGACGTATGGATCTGACTCTTCATGTACCAGGGTCAAAATTAATCGCTGTCTTCCACAGATATTAAGGTGAAACTTCCGGGTTCTTGATGACAATCAGCCACTCCAGGCACGCGCTCCTGTGAATTTCACTCTGTTTTTCAGTTCTCTCTTGGTTGTTTTCATGTAAGCATTTCCTCCCTCCCCCACCCCCTTTTTAAAGCTTAGCCCTACATTTTAAAGGATTTCATATTAGGTTGGGCACAGTGGCACACACTTGTAATCCCAGCAGCTCAGGAGGTGAGACAGGAAGATCACAAGTTCAAGGCCAGCCTCAGCCACTTAGTGATGATGCCTTAAGCAATTTAGAGAGATTCTGTCTCAAAATAAAAATGGGCTGAGAATGTTGCTCAGTGGTTAAGCACCCCTGGGTTCAATCCCTGATACCAAGAGAGAGAAAAAAAAAGATGTCATATTTGTTCCATCATTTTTAGATACCAGTAGCAAAGTGCCTTCCAGGTTACCTATTCTACGGTATTACTAAAACCACAAGTAGTAGTTTATTCCACACCTTGGTTATTTTTCACTTCTACCACCTTCCATGAGAAGCTCACATTGTCTTTATACTTGGACTTTTGCCTGCAGGTGGAATGATGTGATGGTTGATTCAAATTTCCCTGACTGGGGCTGGGGATGTGGCTCAAGATGTAGCGTGCTCGCCTGGCATGCGTGTGGCCTGGGTTCCATCCTCAGCACCACATACAAACAAAGATGTTATGTCCGCCGAAAACTAAAAGAAAAAATAAATAAATAAAATAAAAATTCTCTCTCTAAAGAAAAAAAAAATTTCCCTGACTCTTGTTTCTGCCTGCTTCCTTAGGAGCTCTCACAGGCCTTCAGCCATTTCTTTTCCTGCTAAGAACTCTTTTGGTTTTTCCTGGTCCCAGGAGACCTCCCAGATGTGTTCAGGACTAGTCTTTTCCCTGACTTCTGAGGTTCCTCTACCTTCTCTTACTGAGTCCTTCCATGAATGTACCAGCACTTCAAGATCCCATAATTTCTCATATATCCTTGTAGATAAGGACAGGAAGCTTTTCTCCCCTTTCATGTTTGACTTGAAGAGAAGATGACTTGGCACCCAGGGTATTATTATTTTTACTGAGCAGATTTATGTTTTGACTCAGAGCACCCCTCTTCCTAAGGCTAGCCATAACTCCATTTTCTAGAGCAAATATCTAGATGAGTGTCAGGTGCCACATGGATTTTAGAATTGTCCCACTCCCAGCCTGTCTTCTCTATTGTCTCTTAGACTCATTTTCTCTTAGGAAATGGCTTGAGGCTTGAGGCTTGTCACTTGTTTGTGCAAGTCACCTGTAAAAGTCACACCACTAGGTTGCTACACAGCAGCCCAGGCCAGGGTCTTTGCTCCAGCTGAGATCCCAGGTAAACTGAAAAAGCCCCAGAGAGTGAAATGGGTCATAGGGTCTGGGAAATCAGCAGCCCCTTCAAGAACTTCCCTCTGCCCCATGCGTTTGGGGGCATACCCACAGAAAGGCCAATCATCCTCTGCACGTCCTTGGCCTGAGCCTCTGCCCTTGTACGCCCCCTGCTGGAGCCCACAGCTGGCAGAGGAGGTGCCCACAGCATCACGATGGAATCACTTATATCTGATTTTTTAAAAGACCCAACCAAATTCTATGGAACAGAGCTCATCTTTCATGTCCAGCTTCAACCCAGGGCTAAGACTAGCATGAGGCCAAATAAAGAATTTGCCTCAGGAGCAAAATTTAAGAGCATATAAAAAAATTCAGTAAGCAAGATAAATAGTATTTTAATGTAAGTTAAAAAATGAACCACAATGTTCAAAATACTATGAGGAACAAAAAACAAAAATTGAAATCAAGACAATCTGGTTACTGCTGAAATTTCCTTTTTCCTCAGGGTCCAGTGAGGTTCAAGTTAGTCC